GAACCTTTCATCACATTTTCACAGATGGGAATAGTGATTGTTTTATCTCTGTGCAAAGGTTAACTATTCAACTACAGTAGCTAAATAATCTTATTCACAAGTATTCAGTATTCCATGGTTTCACCAAAAATTTGAGAGAAACACTTGCTGCTAATCAGAATTAGGGTTAATTGCTATAAGAGCAGAACACATGTGTAAGGTGCTCTGAATGTAAAACTTACAATCTCACAGGGTTGTAGTGAAAAACCCATCACACTCAAATAAAATGTTGAAAATACCAGCTGCTGGTGGCACATGCCTTGAATCCCAGCAGTCAGGAGGCAGAGGCAGGTGAGTTTGAGGATAGTTTTGTCCTTAGTTCCAGGACAGCCAGGGCTACACAAAGAAACCGTGTGTGTGTGTGTGTGTGTGTGTGTGTGTGTGTGTGTGTGTGTGTGTGTGTGTGTCTGTGTGTGTGTGTCTGTGTGTGTGTGTCTGTGTGTGTGTGTCTGTGTGTGTCTGTGTGTGTCTGTGTGTGTCTGTGTGTGTGTGTGTGTGTCTGTGTGTGTGTGTGTGTGTTAGGGGGAGGGGATGGAAATACTCCATTTCCTTTTTTAAAAAGAAAAAAAAACAACTGAAGTTGAAATATGACTATTTGACCTATTTCTGGAGAGAAAAAAGATTATTTTATTTTAAGCTCCCCTAACGTTAAGCTTTTAAAAGTTTGAGCAAAACTTTTCCTTTCCCTTCCTCCTACTTTCTCTATTGAGAAAACGGTCCTACCTTCTTCTGGTGCCTCAGCCAGCCTCCAATGCATACAACATGAAATCCTGATTCCTTCCTCAGGAAGTCTTCAATAGAGCCACATCTTTAGGCATTCCTGTTCAAAATGACTTTAGGCAGATTCAGCTGTCTATCAATTCTCACTGGCCTGGAATTCACAGAGATCTCCCTGGCTATTAGACTTTTTAGTTAGTGTTACCTACAGTTAAGTTTGTGTGGACTGAGCCCAGAGCCCTTGTTTCCACTGAGCTAAGTCCCAATCCCAGTATTTCCTTTTGGTTAAGTTGGGTTGTCCCTTGGTAAACTGATGACACATACATTTGTGGCACCTCCATTTTGCACACACACGGTGCCATTACTTTATCTGGTGATATTCAGGACCTAATATGTTGGAGCTAAAAGGGCTCCTTGTTACCTGGGTTTTAAGTGCCTCCCAGTGGTGCTCATTTATTCTTCCCAGGGCATGGACACTTGTCTGCTCTCCCCACCCCTTCATTTAAGTCATTAAAAGTTAAACTGGAACTTTAAGTTAAAGAGAGTTTTAGTAAACCTAAAAAGAAGTATTGTTAAACCTAGGGTTCACATTCATCACAGAGGTCCTTGCCTCTCTTGTGGGCATGTTTCACCAATCTGATGCTTTCTGGAGACACTGAAAGCAAATAGTTAACTACAGTCAAATATTTTTTCAGAAGAACATTTTATTTACAAAAAAAACGTATCTACTTTTGATCTTAATTTGCTTTAAACTATAATTCTTGGCAGTTACTGTTTCATGGGTAAACGTTGGTGTTAGTTCCTTTCCTGTAGTCCTGCGTCTGTGCCTTTCAGGCAGCTTCTTCACATGGCATGGCAGTGCTTTGAAGTGCTTATTTCACTCTGTGGTACTTCAACTTTAGAAATAGACTCTAGGGGATTTAGGAGGGGTTTCTATATTGACTACCAAGAAATTAGCTGCTTGAAGCATGTTCTATTTCTGAATTACAAAGCCACATAATTCTGATATACTGTAATAGAGTAATATCTGACTTTTGGCAGTAGTGTTAGTAGTGGCCATTAATATGATAATGTTGAGGTCTGGAGTGTTTTTTTAATATATAACATTTTTGTTCAGTTTGTGTTTGTGGGTGTGCATTCGCCATGGTAAACATTTGGCAGTCAGGATGATTTGCTGGAGGGAGTCAATTCTTTCCTTCCATGTGAATCCCCATTGTGCAACTCAGGCTTTCTGGCCCAAGCCAGTAACATTTACCAACCGAGCCATTTTACTGGCCCCAGGAATTTTTTGATTTTGTTCCTATTCTTTAAATCTTTTTCCTTTTGAGACAGATTTGCCCATTTTGCTCACATCCTAGATCAGATTTTATCCGTGGAACCAAACCACTTTATTAGCTATTCCGTTGGAAGTCACAGCGTAGAGGAAAATGTATACATTGTAATGGTAGAAACCTCAGTTGCTTCCTCGTATTTCTTCAGGGCAGTGATCACAGCCAGATTCAACGTATGCACAGAGCAGCGGATGCCATGGTAGCGGCCGTCGCTGATTGCTCTTACCATGTTGGATCCATTGTCAGTCTCAGAGGCCTACTTCCAGCTAGGTGCCTTGAACCCAAATAGCTTTTCACACAGACTTCAGGATGTGAGCTAAGGTATGGCCTTTTTTCCTGAGCTGGGCCTACTTATGGGTTGACAGTGACCTTCAACTTTTGTAGACGAGGGCTTCTGTCAGACATTGAGTGACTACAGTTGCTGATAGGCAGTGCTTACCATCCTCTATATGAAAATCCTGTCACCATTTGGAATCATTCTTTTTTTAAGTTTTTGACAAAGCAATTATCCAAGTAAAAATTATTTGATAGCCTGTGTAAAAGGCTAAAATACACCTGCTTTGTGATTCTACCATTATCTTCAATGTGAAATAATTGTTTTTATGAACTTGGTGTAAATTTTCTTTTAATTTCTGCATTCTTGAACTGCTTAAAACTTAATTTTGGTTTAAAAAGAAAACCTAAAACTTGCTGTCCTGCTAATACTTTTATAATAGCCTGTCGGTAATATCCCTTTTAAAATTGCAATTAAGAAATGATCGTCCATTCTCAGGAGTACAAATGAAAAAGTAGTGGTTTCCCAGTATAACCTTTATGTTGGCTGGTAAATACAATAAAGCTCTTTATTGCATTGATGTAGTTAACTCTCCACATTGAAGACTTTGTTTCCTCAAAATGAAAATACATATCTGGATTAAAAAACAAAACAAAAACAAAAGAACTTAACTTTCATATCTTCTTAGCTTGATGAGATATGTTAGCTTAAAATCTTTTCTAAGAGTACAGTAGATCAGCTGCTTGAGACTTATGGCATCATCTAAATTTTTTAATTACAAACATCAAATAACTTCCTGATTCTTTATTATAATCCAGCGTCCTAGTAGTTCACTATTTTCTAACCTTAATGACACTTACAAGTTGAGAAGGGAATCACCTTGCAAGAGTGATTATTCTAAAGAACCTTTGTGTTGTTCTTGGTCCTTAGCGTTTGAAGTTGGGTCTAACTTTAGATAGATACAATTGGCAGCCTAGTTGAGCTTCTCTACAGGAGTCATTTCTTCATTAAGAAATGGCCAGTCTCACTATGCTGTAGGCTCAATTTTGTTTCAGTTTTACAAAAGATACCATGTCTTGGTTGATATTTCAGCTTTAAAACATTGCCTATTCTCTGCTTATAGGTAAACACAAATGTGTTCATATACACGTACATACATTGAGGTTGATGCTGAAATGGTATACAGTATCAACACTTGCTGAGTTGTTTCTGGGTGGCAAAGGAAAGTAGCCATTTGTTTTCTGTGACTTCTTACATCTGAGGGAAGATAAGGACAATGATCCAATGACACATTGTGCCTTTTCAGTTAAGTCGTCTTGCCAGGTGAGAGATAGTAGATGCCATTACTGAGACTAATTTGTGGATACTGGTGGTTTGGACACATTGGAGCACAAGCCTTAATGGTGTAGTCATTTGCTGCTGTTTACCTCGTGAGTGACTTTATTATTACTTATTGTCATCTTATAGTTAAGCAAGGAGCTACTTTTGAGCAGGTTTGTCTTTGTGGTAAGGTTCATTTTTGTGTGTAGGTGGCATATTATTTTGTTAGATTCTTCAGCATTCTGCTGATTTTAAAAATTGATTTTCAGCCAGGCACAAACCTTTAATCCCAGCCCTAGGGAGGTAGAGACAAACACATCTCTTGAGTTTAAGGACAGTCTGGTCTACAGAGCGAGTTCCAGGACAGTCAAAAAACAACGAAAATTCTCTGTGGCTCCATACCTACTTTGTGAAATATTTTAATACAATGGTCTTTTTGTTGGTAGGTATTCATGTAGAAAAATAAGTGCTGTAGAGTTTAGATTGTGCCTTAGAAAGATTTCATATATCTTTATCTGTTATTTATTTTGAAATGTTTACTGAATTAACAAGGATAAACCATTTTGAAGATCTAAACAGTGAAGTTATTAAGTGAAGAATATGTGTCAAGGTTTGCAATAGAAGAAAAAGAAATACTTCGTTGTGATTTTAGTGAATATTATTGAACTGACACTCTGTACACTGAAAACCTTTCTGTGACACATGCTGTTGTGATAAATTTGCTGTAATGTTGGGTCATTTTAGGACCTGGAAAGAAGTAATGAAGTTATGCTTTGAAGTGATTCTATATAACACTTGGTATTAGAGGTGTGTAGCTAGTGCACATTGTCTTGTAAGAGACCCATTCGTGGGCCTACTCTTTATGCTGAAATACTAAATTCTTTTGGTCTCAGTAATTAGCATATTCGGTGAAATACAAGTAGTGTTTCTAAATTGCCATGAAGTTGTCCCTAGGTTACTAGTTTACAAGAGTAGTTTCTTAGAACCTCTGGATACTTATAGTTAAGTGTTTTAAGTGTAGGTCTAAGGGTATAGCAAGTGTTTGGTTGCTTACCTTAATATTTATGTAATGTTTGTTTTTTGTCTTTTAACTAGACAGGAACAATCTATCCATAACTTTATTTGTTATCCTAGGTGTTAATCTGTGGCTTCAGAAGCAGTAATGAATATGACTTGAGCTTCTTACTTATCACATGCGACAAATATAGCACATACTGTGTTGCTTTAATTACTGTTATTACATTAAAATATTTTTTATTTGCAGTACTAAAACTTAATTTTCCTGCATTTCTTTCCATGCTTTAAAAAAAAAAAAAAAGATCTAAAAGGGAAAATGTTAAAACAGGAGTCAAACCAGACGCACCTGACCAAGAACCAGAAGGACTTACTCTTCTGGTCCCAGACATCCAGAGGACTGCTGAGATCGTCCATGCAGCCACCACCAGTCTTCGGCAAGCAAATCAAGGCCAGTAGTGTCTTACATGACCTTTTTTTTTTTTTTTCTTTTTCTTTCTATTTGCACAAATCTTGTTTTATTTAGCAAGTGAGAACTGCCTGTTTTTCCTTGTTTTCAGGTAGGTTCTTGTACTTGCAAGTTAATTCTTTGTTAGGATTTTTTCTTTGTCAGGTTTTAACTAATAATATTTTCTCATTGTAAAATAATTCATCTCAGCCATGCGTGGTGGCACATGTCTTTAATTCCAGCACTTGAAAGGTGAAAGCAAGTGGATCTCTCTAGTTTAAGGCCAGACAGTAGCAAGTTCTGGGTTAGCCAGGGCTATATAATGAGACGTTGTCTAAAAGAAACCTAAAATAAAATAAAAATTAATCTCTTCTATATATATGCTAAGACTAAGTGTAGTAGCTTGAGAACAAGCATATTAATTTCATTTGTGTTTCTTAATTGAAAGCCCTGTAATTGAAAACCATCATTTTGTCAGTGAGTAATAAATTGAGGTTGTTACACATAATAGCACATATCTGTACTCCTAGCACTTAGGATCATAAGTTTTCTGCCGTGTAAGGACACCCTGTCCAATTCATCTCTCATTCCCCAGATGAATGAGATTGCAGGAGAACTTCTATAATACATGTATTGGTATTAGAACAAAACAATGACCTTTGCTGTTTAAGAAGTGAATGAGGGGGGCTGGAGAGATGGCTCAGCGGTTAAGAGCACTGACTGTTCTTCCAGAGGTCCTGAGTTCAATTCCCGGCAACCACATGGTGGCTCACAACCACCTTGAATGAGATCTGGTGCCCTCTGCTGGCCTGCAGGCAGAAGGCTGTATACACAATAAATAAAATAAAATAAAATAAGTTAAAAAAAAAAAAAGAAGTGAATGAGGGGCTGGAGAGATGGCTCAGTGGTTAAGAACACTGCCTGCTCTTCCAGAGGACCCAGATTCAATTCCCAGTATCCATATGGCAGCTCATAACTGTTTGTGACTACAGTTCCAGGGGATCTGACACCATTACACCAGTGCAAACAAAGTTAAAGTTAGAAGAGTTAATGAGCGATTTGCCCATTGTTATGTTTATGAAATAGAAAAGTAATTCCACTTCCCAAAGTCATAAAATAGGAAGATTGTTGTGAAAAGCTTGGTAGAAATTTAGTATTCCATACCTGAATGTAGAAGTAGATAGTTTTTCAATTTTGTGTCATACAGAAAGAGTAGAAGAGGAGAGAGATTCATGGAGGAACAAAAGGGCAATGGAATGTGATCAGAGTACATTACTTGTTTTTGTTTTTAAAGACAGGGTTTCTCTGTGTAACAGCCCTGGCTGTCATGAAACTCATTTTGTAGACCAGGCTAGCCTTGAACTCACTGAGATACGCCTACCTCTGCTTCCCAAGTGCTGGGATTAACGATGTGTGCCACCAAACCTGACTCAGAATACATTATTTGTATACATGTATGCTGATAAAAACATTTTAAAATATATTCTTATGTAATTTATCTTGAAATATTAAATTACAGAAAAAAAACTAGGTGAATACTCAAAGAAAGTGGCTATGAAACCCAAACCTTTGTCAGTGTTAAAATCGCTTGAAGAGAAATATGTGGCTGTCATGAAGAAACTACAGTTTGGTAAGTTGAAATTTCTCATAGTCAGCCTTCTAGCAGTGCTGGGTAAGTGTGTAGAGTAAATGAGAGATTTCTAGACTTGAGCTAAGTATGGGGCACTTGTAATTCCACTCACTGGTGCAGAGGCAGAAGAATTCGATTTTGAGGCTAACTCATGTCACATTAAGATGCTGCCTCAAAAACTGCACATCTTTGCGTGCATCCTTGTGTTTAAAATGTGTTTGTGGCCTCCAAAACAATATGGAGAAACCCTGTCTCGTAAAAACAAAAAAAAGTGTTTGTGACCTGATTGCTACTTGGGTGCCACACTCTTTTCTTATAGACTGCTTATCAGAAACGATCTTGTGTGTACATGAAAGCTTTTGCCATCTCTGACTTGAGGTCTGTGTGTATAGTCGCAGCATTGCCACCCCAGGAGATGCACTAGAGTGCCCTACACAGATAAAAGCACAAGTAGAGTCTGCAGAGCATCCCAAGAATGGACTTTCCTTGAACCCAGGATCTCATGCAAGTGAGGGATGTGCTGTGGCACTACGCTACACCCCCTGCACCCCACCCTGTGGCACTCCAGCAGTTCCATTAGGGTAGAAGAAGAGACTGGACGCTTCTGTGTGATGTTTGCCTCACAACAGCTGTTTTCCATACTGGTTCTCCACTTCTGTCTTCTGTCTCCTTTTAGATACATTTGAAATGGTCTCTGAAGATGATGATGGGAAACTGGGTTTTAAAGTAAATTACCACTACATGTCTCAGGTGAAAAATGCCAACGATGCCAACAGTGCTGCCAGAGCCCGCCGTCTGGCTCAGGAAGCGGTAACACTTTCAACCTCACTGCCTCTGTCATCGTCTTCCAGTGTTTTTGTACGCTGTGATGAGGAGCGACTTGATATCATGAAGGTAGAAAACAGCTTTGTCCCTACCCTCCCTAGGCTACTCAAGTATTCACAGAGAGCTTTAGACGTAGCCTGAATTTTCAATTTCAACATAAATTTTGCTTACCACTTGGGATTGCAGTAAAAGGAGCTGTGTTCTAATATTAGTTCAGGGTGTGCAAATGAGATAGCATGGGAAGACTTAGGAAAAAAATACCTGAAGAGGTGACTCTCTGTTTGACCTCTCATAGTTTTGAGGCATAGTATCAGAGGACTCGGTGCTGAGGAGTGAAGAGGATAAAGTCATCTTGGGTGCCACACTCTTGTCTTATAGACTGCTTATCAGAAAAGGTCTTTTTCCTTTATGAGAAATCTGTTGTTTTGAATACCTTTAGGTTTTATGAATAAAGTCATAGCAATATAACATAACTTGTACTTTTCTGTTTTTACATTGTGATCTGTCTAATGATAGTCTTAAGTAAAAACTAAATTAAAAAAACTAAAGATTGGATAGGCAGTGAAAAATCCTTTACATTTATGATTTAATTCATAGGTTAATTAGTCTGTCTTCCTCAGACAACTCAAATTACTGATCTGTTGACTTCTCTGAGATGTTTTTCTATGCGTTGATTTTCTGGATAATGTTTCAGTAGGAAGGTTATAGACTTTGCCTGTTTGGCCATTACAATCTAATGACATTACTGTTCCACACCCGTGTTTCCCTGTGGAGCACTGTGCTCTATGTGTAGGAAAGACCTCCAGCCTAGAACTCTGGAGTAAGTCGTGTGCTGCCAGTGACCTCCACGTGTAACTGCACTGCAGGTGGACTCCCCTGTAGCTCTGCGCTGCAGGTGGCATTGCATCTCTTAACTGACTCAGATGAAACTCAGAATGGTTATGCTTGAAGTTGAAGATCCAGATAAACTTTCTTGATGCTCAATAAGAATCTGTTTTCACCAAAACCACAGCACTATGAAACCTTTTCCTCATCCTGTGTTTATGTTTCTTCTCCAATCTTAGCCCAGCTTGTGCACTGGCCATTTTACAGTGTTCTCAAAGGTGGTGACGAAGTGATTGTCACAAGTCTCTCTGTTTATGTGCATACCAGGTTCTGATAACTGGGCCAGCAGACACCCCCTATGCAAACGGCTGCTTTGAGTTTGATGTGTATTTTCCTCAAGATTATCCTAGCTCACCTCCTCTTGTGAACCTAGAAACAACTGGGGGTCATAGCGTGCGCTTCAATCCCAACCTTTACAATGATGGCAAGGTAAGATGCTTGGGTCTTTTGTTTTTCAGGCCACACTGCTCAGAAGGTTTTTGTGATTCAAACAAAATTGGTGTGGTTTTCTTTTTTCCTCATTCTTGCTCTATTTGCATATGCAGACCAGTTCGAAAATAAGAGAAGAAATTTAAAAAGGCAAAATACTACAATTAATTAATACCTTCCATGAACCAATTCTGCTCACAACACAGCAGAACCAGTGTCTAGCTTGGAAATTCCCTTATTTCTGTATCTCCGGTTCTGGCCATCTTTTCGGGAATGTTTGAGCAGAGCTGCCGTCAGCTCTACACTCTGTCCTCTGGATCACAGCTTCATCTTTCCATCTTAAATCCACTTAGTCCATGAGACACAGAATTAGGAACTTGCTTTTTTTTAAAGCTGTTTTCACATTTTTTAAAAAAATTAACAACAGGATGATTCATTCTTTTTTGGGGGGTGGGGGTTTGAGACAGAGTTTCTCTGTGGCATTGGAGGCTGTCCTGGAACTCTTGTAGATCAGGCTGGTCTCAACTCACAGAGATCTGCCTGCCTCTGCCTTCCGAGTGCTGGGATTAAAGGTATGTACCGCCACCACCCGGCAATGATTCATTCTTACTAGAAAAAAAAATCTAAAAAAAAAAAGAAGATGTAATAAATAAAAAAAAAATGTTTCTAGCCATGCGGAACAGTAGCTGTGTGGTAGAATGTTTGTTTGCCATAGGTTCAGTTCTGAAAATAAAAGTTTTATTTAAAACAGAAATCATTTCCTATGACTATATAATTATCACTTTTCAATGTGGTTATGGACAGTTTAATAGAAGACTAGTAGTAAATTCCATGCCGAGTATGGTTTTAAATACCACTAGAAGTTAAGAAGAAATATCTAGGAGCTGTAGAGACGACTCAGCAATTAGAAACTCTGCCACTTTGCAGAAGCCCTGATGCTCTCATGTGACCTCCATGGGTACCAGCCACACATAAGCAGATGCTTCTTGGTGGGAAGAATAGCAAATTCATGCAGAGGCACGCGGACCTGAGTTCAGGTTAGGCCTGATCTACAGAGTGAATTCCAGGGCTGCACGGAGAAACCCTGTCTTGAGTCTACTCCTCCCTCCTCCCCCCCAAAAAAAAGAAAAGAAAAATAATAGCAAAATCTTAAAAGTAGGGTTTTTATCAAAGATGTCTCCAAGGTCCTTCACCCCTTTATATTCAACCAGTTTGACATAGAATGTTACTGTTTCATCCTTATTATTTTTGTTTTGTTTTTCAAGACAGAGTTTCTCTGTATTGTTTTGAAGGCTGTCCTGGAACTCACAGAGATTCACCTGCCTCTGTCTCCTGAGTGCTGGCATTAAAGTCGTGTGCCACCAACGCCTGGCTCTGTTTCATCCATATTACCAGGTGATAAATCATAAAATTGGAACTCGTTGTGTAGATTTCTTTCAGAAAGTTTAAGAGAGGCACCATTTATTTTCTTCAAGAAAGTAAAGAACAGGGTTTCAGGAACAGAAGCTGAAGTAGCCATGTTAGCTTTTATTGATAGATCCCAAATAATGTATAAAGGAGAATTTGCTTAAGCAGTTCACTCTGTAGGCTTGAGTGAGTGAGGATAAGGCATTGAGATACCAGTATCCTGAAGGGTTAGTATTCATTTTAAGTGTCTTTGTTGAATGACTTACACACATATATGGCTTTTAAATTATTGTTTTTGTAGTTTTGGAGTCAGATGGAGGGGCTCATGACTGCTGTGAAATGTAGTAATAACCTCAAGTCCCTGTCCGTTTAGAGGTGACTGAGCAACTACCTGTAAATCCCAGCTACACGTAGATCTGACAACTCTGTGTTTGTGGCATTTGCACACATGTATGCACACAAAATTTAAAACAAAACTAAAAAGTTCACAGTTGTGGGTGAAGAGATGATTCAGTGATTAAGAGCTGTACTGTGTCAGGTGGTGGTGACACACACCTTTACACATGGGAGGCAGAGGCAAGCGAATCTTTGAGGCTTGGTCTACAGAGCAAGTTCTGAGACAGCCAAGGCCACACCGAGGAACCTTGTCTCAAAAAACTGCTTGCTGTTCTAGAAGGCGTCTGTTCAGTTCCCAGAACCAGGGCCCACATCAGGTGCCCTGCCTGAAACTTTGTTTCAAAAGATCTGGCACCCTTTGGCCTCAGTGGTTAAAGGCAATAACAACCTAAGTTTGATTCCCTGAATCCACATAGAGGAAGGAGAGCACTTGACTCCCTCATGTTTTCCCTGACCTCCATGTGCATGCCCACATACAAACAATTTAGATTACACCAGAAGCTTTTGGGTTTTAGAAAAGTAGTAGTTTTCATTAAGATGCATGTTATGTAGGACTAATGATGTAGTTCGGTTGGTAGCATGCCTGCTAGTGTACTCAAGGCTAGTACTGTTTTAACTGGGTATGATGGTGCGTCCTTGGTGTCCTAGCGCTAGAGCAGTGGAGGCAAGAGAGTCAGAAGCTCATGGCCATCCTCTACTACAAAGCTAGTTGAAGGCCATACTGAGCTATATAAGCAAAAAAAAAAAAAAAAAAAAAAAAAAAGATGACATATTACATATGGGGATGTATTAGGCCCCAAGCTTTCCTTGTGAAGAAATTGTAATGCCACATGGGTTTGGTTCACACCTAAAGATGAATTAGGCTTTCACAGACTTAGGTACACTTTGATTTGAGAGCATCATGTTTTTATTTCTAGTTGGTCAGTTAAATATTAAACACTTCTTCAAAGTCTGTTTGTCTTTCTCCCTTCAGGTTTGTTTAAGCATCCTGAACACATGGCATGGAAGACCAGAAGAGAAGTGGAATCCTCAGACATCAAGCTTTTTGCAAGTAAACAAAGTTTCTCTCACAGATTTGCTTACACTCTAAGAACTGTGTTTATTGCAGGTGAAATTAGTGACCAAAAGTAAACATAGAAAGCTGTCCAAAAAGCTAGAAGGCAGGAAATGCTAATAAATAGCTAGTCTCATGGGTAGTTTAAAGTTTGACAGAAGACAAACATTAGACTTGTTGAACCTAATTCTTAAAATGCAGTGTGCTGCAATAAGGTGATTTGGGTATGCCTCCTGTCTTGTGCATCAAATTTAATACCCACTTCCTCACTAGGAGGTAGTGTTACATAGAATTTTAGTTACTTGATGATCAAAATTAATGTCCTGGAATTGATAAAATATTAGGAGTTTTAGCTCCTTTTTTTTCCCATAATGGTTTTTGGTTTTTCAAGACAAGGTTTCCCTGTGAGACAGCCCTAGCTGGTCTGTAGACCAGGCTGGCCTCAAACTCACAGAGATCTGTCTGCCTCTGCCTCCCAAGTGCCGAGATTAAAGGAGTGTACCACCACTGCCTGGTTCCTTATTAAGTTTTCTTTGTGAGCATTGTTAGTAGGGCTTTGTTGGTTTAATGTTCTACACAAGTAAGGCCAGTTTTAACAGATGATGCATAAGTATTATTTAAGGTTGTGGCAGAGGCAGCAGGATCTTTGTAAGTTCAAAGCCAAAACTTGGTCTATGTAGCTAGTGCTAGGTCAGCCGGGGCAATGCAGTGAAATGCTGCTTATAAATAAATGAGTGAATAACTATTTTATGTGGTTTGGTGTGGTTAACTTAAATTTATAGGTTTTTTTTATGTTTGTTTTATTTTTAAAGGCAAGGGTCACACACTTTAACCCAGGGCATCCTGGAATTCACTATGTAGCCTAGGTAGGCTTTGAGCTTACCCTGATATTCATGAGTCAACTGAGATAATGTATATGGATGTTTGCTTGTGTGTATGTATGTGTACCACATACATATGCTGATAATCAAACATAGGTCCTTAACTGTTGAGCCATATCTCTAGCCCCCAATAGTTTTGACTTTGCTTGGTTTGGTTTTTTGAGACAGGGTTTCTCTGTGTGTAACAGCTCTGGCTGTCCTGGAGCTCACTTTGTAGACCAGGTTGGCCTGGAACTCACAGAGATCTGTCTGTCTCTGCCTCCTGAGAGTTTGTTTTTGTTTTTATTCATGCCAGAAATATTTGGAAATATGCTAATAGAGACTCTTAGAGATGAAGCAGGATAACAGTTTACTGGCAGTAAAAATGTCTAATAACTTTTTTCATTTCCTATTTTCCTTAGGTGTTGGTTTCTGTCCAGTCCCTTATATTAGTAGCTGAGCCTTACTTTAATGAACCGGGATATGAACGGTCTAGAGGCACTCCCAGTGGCACACAGAGTTCTCGAGAATATGATGGAAATATCCGACAAGCAACGGTTAAATGGGCGATGCTAGAACAAATCAGGAATCCTTCACCATGCTTTAAAGAAGTAGGTTGGACAAAGTTAAGTACTTAAGGCATTTGAGATAACTTGTTAGTATTATAGTCTAAGTTTACAGTATCTGGTGCACTAAGCTTTACTTCTTATAACTAAGAATCCTAAAATCATTAATAACAAAATGCAGTTAGCAAGGTTTAAAACCACATCTGTAATGAAAGACAAATGACTTTATCTTGGGACCTTTATATTTAATGTTTACTTTTGCATGATGTGTGCAGGTACACATTTTGTGTGTAAAGGTGAGAAGACAGTCATTTTTTTTCTGAGACAGGGTCTCTAGCTGGTTTTAAATTCACTGGGTAAGCCTTTGTGGGCCAACTGTCTCTGTTGCTTCAAAGCTGGAGTTCTGAGCGTGCACCACCATCCTTGTTCTGCTTTTTTTTTTCTTTCTTTCTTTTTAACGACACAGGGTTTCTCTGTATTGTTTAGCAGGCTGTCAGTCCAGCCCGGCCTCAAACTCACAGCGATCCGACTGCCTCTGCCTCCCGAGTGCTGGGATTAAAGGCATGCGACACCACCACCCTGCTTGTTTTGTTTGTTTTTAATGGGCTGTTATACACTTCACCAAATGAGCATCTTTTAGCTCAGGACTTTTTGCTTTTATCCAACTATTCAGACATTACTGAAATATTCTCTTGAAATATTCCTTATTAATGAAGATCAGTTAATTTCTAAATCTATGGTGGAAATAGATTTTTTTGTTCTTATACCAAAGTATGTATGTGATGTATGTGAATGTTAAGAAAAAAATTAGAAAGCATCAAGCTCCTAAAAGCCCTCAGAAGCATTTCAAGGGATTTGGCTTTTCTGTGTCTTAAAATTGCTTTCTTTCTCAAGGTTGTTTCCTTTGATTATTAGTTTCCTAGATTTTCCTAGAATTGCAACATTTTAAATGATTTTTTTTGTATTGGCCTAATAGACTGTCATATTTAATAGGATTTAGTAGTTGTTATTCTTAAACACTGTGAGCCCTGTAAATGTTGCTCCTGTTAATTAAGTGGAGTTCATGAGCATGATCCGAAGGATGTAAAGGAACATTCCTTCTTTTGTTACTACTACATGTGTGCACACATCCAGAGGTTTGCCTTTACCTTAAAGGCTATGGAAGATAATAGATCTGTTATAGGAAATTGCTTGTGTATGCACATGTGTGTGTATACTTGTATACAAGGCCTTAGATGTAATCTCTTTGTTAATTAGGCATAGGTTATTCACAGTAAGATAATTCATCGTATAACTGCCCATCACCTGTTACTAAGCATTGTGCCAACTTACTGAAAAAAAAAATCAAGGATAAATACAGTTCTCTTGGAGAATCTGTATGTTCTTTCCCTTTGCATCATACATAAATTATTCAGTGCCCTAGGTACTGGGCTCTTTGATCGGTCTGCTGTGTGTAATAGGGATTCCAAGTTACATGGTGTATAATGCTGAATCTTAATTCCTCTTTTCAGCTCTGTATATTACGTAAAGTTCAGAGGTCGACAGAATTAGCATATTGAGCAAGTCAGGATAAGGGCTGGAGATGCCACGTGGTGTCGTGTGTTTAAGTCCCAGGGTTTAGTCCCAGGTATGAGCACAAAGGGTCAGTATGGTGAGAGGAAACACAAGTGTTCTACTCTTCCAGGTAGAGGCTACATTGGTGTGTATGTGTCTGTTTGAAAAGAAATCAATGGAGACACAAAATGATTGCTTTTTCGTTTTTTGTTTTTTTGTTTTTTTTTTGTTTTTTTGTTTTTTTTTTTTTTTTTTTTTGTTTTTTTGTTTTTGTTTTTTTTTTTGTTTTTGTTTTTGTTTTTGTTTTTGAGACAGGGTTTCTCTGTATTGTTTTGGAGCCTGTCCTGGAACTCTAGACCAGGCTCGGTCTCGAACTCACAGAGATCCTCTGCCTCTGCCTCCCGAGTGCTGGGATTAAAGGTGTGCGCCACCACCACCTGGCCAAAATGATTTCTTTATATTTATATGAAACTCTGAAAATATATTTAAAGCACTCTGAAATATACCCATTTTATGAGTTAATTCCCAACCCCTTGAATAAACACAGGGATTATAATGGGAGAGTGAAGTTTATAAAAATTAAATACATATCATTAGAAAAACAATGATTCTATCATCCTTTGGAACCTAACTTGTTAAAATTGGCACTCCTTGCCACTGGATACTTAAAACTGACTTTCTTAGTATGAATTCCCTGGGCATTTTTGTTTATTTACATTGTTGGAGGAGTTGTTGTTCTTTTATTTTTTTATCTTTCTGTTTTTGAGGCAAGAGTTTATTTATGTACTTTTCTTGCATTTTGAGTCCTTGAATATCAATCTCACAAACTGCTAAATGTAACGTAGGATTGTTCCAGTGTTTTATTTCAGTTCCCATGCCTTTATAAAGCTATCTGGCTTTAGACAGGATATGACAGAGAGAACCCCTTTAGATAGTATAGGAACTGAACTGGAATTCTTGTCTGCTTTCTACTCCTAAGTTTCCCACAGATTCCTAATGCTAATGTATCAAACATTTTTCAGAGGTAGAAATCTTTAAAATTTTCAAATGAAGCCCGAGGTGGTGGCTCACCCCTTTAATCCCAGCACTCAGGAGGCAGAAGCAGGCAAATCTCTGTGAGTTCAAGGCCAACCTGGTCTACAAAGTGAGTTCCAGGTTAGCCAGAGCGAGAGTGTGCATGCACACCACCTGGACTCATGCTGCCCTCAAAGGTCAAAGAGGTCTTCAGTTCCCCTGGTTGTGAGCCTCATCGTGGGCTGGGAACTAACCCAGCTTCTTTGCAAGGGCAACAAGTGCTCTTAACATCTCTCCAGCCCCAGAAGGTATAGTGTAATGAGTATGCTTCATTTTGATTTTATATGATTGTCTTTGATTCTAAGACATGCTAGAAGGAGAACGTGATGCCTTTGACCTCTATGTGAATGATGTGGCACACATGCATACCCACAAGAAATAGATGAATAATGCTTTAAAAACTTCACTCTTTGAAATCTCAAATATTTTGTGGGTTTGTTTGTTTTTGTCTTTCTGTATGGGGCTGGGGGTGTGCATGTGAGTACAAATGCCTAGAGATGCCATCACATCACTTGGAGCCTGAGTTAACTGGTGGTTGTGAGCCTCCTGACATGGGTAATGAGACCTAAGCACAGTTCTTCTGTAAGTGCAGTATACTCTGAGCCATCTCTTCAGCCCTAGTTCCCATGTAAAGACTGACATTTTTCTGTTGCCTGAGTTGAAGATCTTTGACCTTTGCTGTTTTATCTCTGTCTGCTTTATGTTGCCTTATGTGTGTCCTGTGCTCTTTAGATGGGATTACTTGAGTATCTGAGCAGGGTTTGAATATCCGTTGCTGCTGTAGAATTGCATATTTCAGTGTATTTCCTCTGATGTTCTGATCCTGGCTGTTTCATGGTAATGATGTAGCATATATAAAACATACAACATTTGAAACCAGAATTTTTTTATTTGTTGTAAGGCCACCAACTTTGCTTTTAAAATGTGTGGACATGCTCTGTCTTATTGCTTTTTATTTTCAAGGTTATACACAAACATTTTTACTTGAAGAGAATTGAGATCATGGCCCAGTGTGAGGAGTGGATTGCAGACATCCAGCAGTACAGCAGCGATAAGCGGGTGGGCAGGACCATGTCTCACCATGCAGCAGCTCTCAAGGTGAGTGGTGATTATCTGACTTAGCGATTGCCACCTGAAGGTCGTGAGCAGAAGAGAACCAAAGAAACAAGTTGTTACAGAAAAGTGTGTAGATAGGTACAAAAACTTTGACAGAGGACTGGTAATTATTCAGATTCTAAGTAGCTATAGGACCTGAACCCTTACGCCTTTTCCCTTACATAACTTTGTTACTTGGTGTAATGAAGAAGGTACGAGATGGAGGGCACTGAGAAATGATTGGTAATAACCTCTGTGGGAGGCAGGCAGTTGTTTTTAGCCTAAGCATTCACTGATAGAAGTGGAAGACACAGCACCTTTGCAGACTTTCCATTCGTAGAAATCCTTCTTTTTGCTGCTTCCAAATAACTATTTTATTCTTCTGTCCTTTTATCCTCCCAAATGTCACATAAACAGTGTTCTGCCTACATACCAGAAGAGGGCACCAGATTGAATTGGAGATGGTTGTGATCCACCATGTAGTTGCTGGGATTTAAACTCAGGACCCCTGGAAGAGCTCTTAACCTTGGAGCCATCTCTCCAGCCCTCAGTGTCTTCCCTCTTTATGCGTGCAGTGTTTTCATCCTTGCTAGCCTTTTTTTTTTCTGATCCTCATTGAAACACTATAGATACCCAAGTGGGAAGGCAACACACCTTTAATCTCGGTACTTGCCAGTGGCAAAATAATCACTGTGTGTTCCAGGACAGCCACTGCTACATAGTGAGACCTTTTCTCAAAACAGAGCAAATAAGATAAGTAACTGATAATAAGAATGCTAGTTTTTTAGGTGTGTGTGTGTGTGTGTGTGTGTGTGTGTGTGTTTCCTCCCAAGTACAGAAATACTTATGAGTGACATGTCATGTGATGTCTGGAAGTTGTTTCAAAATAAGAAAAATGAAAAGTGATTATCAGATTAGCCAAGAGTTTCTAATAGTTGAAGCTAGGTGTTGGAGATGTGTGCATTTATTTTCCTATTCTGTCTACTTTTGTATACTGTTGAAATTTTGCATTATAAAGACTTTCGAGCCAGGAGTAGTTGTCATGAACTGGTGTTTGTGGGGCTGCAGTCGGGACTGGCAGAGCAGCCCCAGGTCTATTCCTGAGTGGGGGAGTGTGGATGAGGGAAGGCTAGGTATAGACGTTAAAGGAAAGATGCAGACATAGGATAGTGTCAGGAGGGTAGTTTCAGTTCATACTGAATGTGCCTCTATTTATTCATACAACATCTTAAGTAACGAATCAAAGGTGGGGACAATGACAGAAGACTTCTATTATCATGTATAAAGGGTAGATAGCAATTACTTCTCCTAAACGTTAAGACACTCCATAGCTGCAAGTACTACTTGGCCATCAAGTGCTTCATATCTGCACCACCAGCCTTCAGGATGAGTGTAAACTTACCTGGGTCCAAGTCTATTGTTATTTAGATAGGAGCCATTCACCACCAAGGCCAGGGCATCACGTAGCTGTTAAGCTAGTATCTTAAAGACAATAGGAGTGTTTTTGAGCTCTCTGAACTCCTGACAAGATGGAATGGACTTCCATATATGGGTCCAGACAGGTGGTGATGCATTAAGCATCTCAATCAGTTGGATAGGATTCAAGGCTACCCTTGGCTAGTGAGGCTGTCTAAGGAAATAACACTTAGCTTGTTTTATGCTAGTTCTGTTTTGTCCAATACTGGAAAACAGTTTGTGTTCTCCATCAAACAAGAACAAAGACCTCTGCATCCAAAGGTTTGTCTCCTTACACCATGCCCACTAGCCTGTCTCCATCTACGGTTCTGTTACAGTTCCACTCCTCAAATTCACACACACACACACACACACACACACACTCTCTCTCTCTCTCTCTCTCTCTCTCTCTCTCTCTCTCTCTCTCTCTCTCTCTCTCTCTCTCTCTCTCTCTCTCTCTCTCTCTCTCTCTCTGTAGGTTACTCATTAACATACCCACTGCTTATCTAATGTTTCCCTTTTCTGTCCATCAAGCTCCTCTTCCCTTTTTTCTTTTTTTTTTTTTTTTTTATATTAATATTTTTTTTATTTTCCATTTTAAATTTAGATAAGAAACAAGGTTGCTTCACAAGTCAGTACGAGGTCCCTCTCCCTTTCCCTCCCCTCCTCCTGTGCCCACCTCTCTTCCCTTTTTTCATTTATTCTTTTCCATCTTTCCTGAGAAGCAGTTTATTTCCACCTCCTTTCTTTTGTGGTCGTTGGGCTTCTAATGTTGGACAAGGTGACTCATAAAACAAAATCAAAAGTCATTTATCTGAGAAAGGGACTGTAGGGATAGAACAGATTTTGATAAGGACAGGAGAGAAATAAAAGGGGGGGTGGAGAGAGTGATCAGAATGCATTATGTACTTGTAAGAAGTTGACAGAAAAACAAAATTAATCTATTAAAAAGTGACTCTTGGAACTCGGTCTTTCTCTCTCCAGAGTTGTGTTTGTAATGTTTTTTCCTAGAAGCCCTCATTAAGCATTGAGAGTAGTACTGTATCTTCCTTCAGATTGGTTCTTTTAGCTTTCTCCACTTGGTTTCCAGACTGTCTTTTTCTCTCAGATCAATAGATATTGGTTAGCTCTCTTCATCTAGTTCATGTGCTTAGTAGGAGACCCCTTCAATATTGTCCTCAGAAGGGGCTTGCTCCCAGCTGCCCCCACCTTCACTGTGTCTCACATACTTCTGTTCTCTGTGGTTCCTGATGCTTCCTGGATAGGTACTTAGCTGCATCTTTGCTCACATACATCTGCAGAGCCTGCAGTCTAGCTGTTGCTGCTGTTCTGTTATTTCAGCATTTGCTTTGCTCTGAAATCATTTTACTGTATTATTTTTAAGGTTGTTTTTGGCTGTTATTTTGAGTACAGGGTCTCACTCTGTACTAATGACTGTCCTGAATCTGAACTATGTAGACCAGGCTGTCCTCAAACTCAGATTTGCTTTCCTCTGCCTCCCCAGAGTTGGACTTAAAAGATGTGAGCTATCCTACTAAACTACTGTACGTTTTTTCTATGTCACCCTGACTTGGAAATCCCTCATTTCCAGATTGGTGAAGATTTCAACATCTTTGCTGAAGAATGCTAGTCAAGGAAGTGCATGTACTTTTCTTTTCTTTTTTTTTTTTCCTTTGGGTTTTTCGAGACAGGGTTTCTCCGTAGCTTTGGAGACTGTCCTGGAACTCACTTTGTAGACCAGGCTGGCCTCGAACTAACAGAGATCCGCCTGCCTCTGCCTCCCGAGTGCTGGGATTAAAGGCGTGCGCCACCAACGCCCGGTGTGCATGTACTTTTCAACTAAGTCCATAATATACTTATAGTATCCTACTCTCCCAAGTCCTCATAATAATTAGATTTTTCTTTCCTTTTCCTTAGTCAGTGTTTTTAAACATAGTAGAAGGGGAATCAGTGCTGCTGGAGAGTTTGTGAGTTTGAAGTGTGTGAATATGCTTTAAATCCTTGAAAGTGGCTAAGGGTGTGTGATTGTCTCAGCCTCCAACTAGCTCTCACTCAGGCTTCACAGAAGTTAGCGCGTCTTTATTGTGCTCATTGCCTTGTTTTGTCAGTGCTCAACAGAGCATCTTTTAGGTGTAAAGATTGCTCTATAAAACTGTGTAGTGGGGCTGGCCAAATTGCTTAGTGAGTAAAGGCATTTGCCACCACGCCTGACAACCTGAGCTTGATTCCTGAGACTCTTTCTTTTTTTTTTTTTTTTTTTTTTTTTTTTTTTGGATCTCTGTGAGTTCGAGGCCGGGCTGGACCGATAACCTCCAAAACAATACAGAGAAACCCTGTCTCAAAAAAACAAACAAACAAACAAAAATTCTAACAATAAAATTTTCATGTTTCTTTTGAGTTAAATGAAATGATGGGAAACTTTTGCCAAGTTCACGGAGGGCCCTTTGATCGAAGCATACCTGTTTCCATTCACTAAGACAACCATGCATATGTGTTCTCAATTTTGTAATGTAGTTTAGGTTTTTGTTTAGTGGTTGTACATATGTGTCACCCCCCACTTTTTTTTTCCTCCCACCTCGTAGTAGAGATAGATCCCAGAGCTTGCACATGCCAGACAAGTGCTGTGCCATTGTGATAAATCCCCAGTCTGGGTTTATTTTAATTTGTGCAATTGTCGTTTTCAGAGTTGACATGTAAAATAATACACATATCAATCCGTAGATGTTTAAAGTCATTGGTGGTGCAGCTCCTATAGCCAGGGTGGGGGCACATGGGGCTATGTGGAACTATGCTATGTTTTTAGGGTATGGGGTTTATTCTTCTTTACCAGTACAGAATGTTACTTGGGACTTTTCAGTATCAGGAAGTAACTTTGAGTTTGGGATCCTTTTTTTTTTTATTTATATAATTTATATAATTGGTATTTTGCTTGCATGTATGTCTGTGTGAGGGAGTCAGAAGTTACAGATAGGTGTGAACTGCCATATGAGCCTGGGAATTGAACCCAGGCTTTCTGGAAGAACAGCCAGTGCTCTTAACTGCTGAATTATCTCGCTGGCCCTGAGTTTGGGGATTCTTGAGAGTTCTGTTTGCTGTGTGTTTTAAATGTGTAATGTACTGGCTGGCATACGAAGCATTGAGTATACATTTATACACTTGATAGTGGAGTATGTTAAAACCAAGTTCTTGTCTTAGTGATAGGGTGGAATCACATGACCACACTTCTGATATTAGTGATTTCCTCCATGTAGCGCCACACTGCTCAGCTCCGAGAAGAGCTACTGAAACTTCCCTGTCCTGAAGGCTTAGATCCAGACATTGACGATGCCTCCCAGGTGTGCAGGGCCACAGCGCGTGCTGAAGAGACTCTAACACACGACCATGGCAAACCCAACAGCAGCAAAGACCTCCCCAGTGACTTCCAATTATGAGCTGCATTGATGTGGATTTCATAGACACAACGGCTTCGGAAGCACAAGCCAAATATGTCAATATTTGTATGTAAGAAACTAATTATGTAATAGGTAATGGAACTGAAACTATACTATGCCCTTAAGGAGATCCAGTTTAATTCAAGGTGATCTTTGATTTACCTGTACAAGAGTGTAAACTTTTTTGTGCTTTTATTTTTCAATTGTGAGAACCACTGATTGGTATGTTCAACAAATTTGTGTATACAAAGAAATGGATAAATCACTGATCTATAAGGGAAACTACCTTAGGAAAGAATGTTTACTGAATGTTTATCTTTCTTTTTTTTTTTTTTTTTACTGTAGAGTGAGAGGTTGTTAACAAAGGATATATATTGGTCATTCTTACAACTGCTATTTAAAGTCAGCAACTTTTCACTGAATTTGATAGATTTTATGTTTGACCATATCTTCATGCTCATATTTGATTTCTGAAGACCTCCTACATACACTTTAATAAAAGTTAAACAGACATAGCCCTTCTTTTTTGATTTACTGGTACATTTTTAAGTAATAAATCTGCCATAAAATGCACTATAGCTGGAGACTTGCACTTGTATGGATGAATTTATTACATTCAACATATTTAATTTTATGCCTTCTAAGATGCAGAAAAAAATAAATGAACATGATTTTATTCTATGCCAAACATTGGGCCTCTGAATGTATCAATTCTTTGAATTTAAGTATATGAAAAGGTATGGTCAATTGGAAAAGTCACTTTAAACTGTTTTCCTCAAGGGCTCCTCTCTGTCTGGACTGTGTGGTTTTGTTCCTGAAGTCCCATGTATGTATCAACACGGAGGCTCTGTAGAGGAGAGAGGCTGGGCCTCTCTGGTGCTGTTACAGTACACTCTGTACCTGCCATACAGGCTCATTTTCATGCAAATTCTTCTAGAGCCAATAAATAAAAACTTAGGTGAATTAGTATGTCTTGTTTCTAAAATAGTTGCCATGTGTGAAATGGTATTTCTACAGAGAAGCTTTTGAGATTTTTTTTTTTTTTTTTTTTTTTTTTTTCGAGACAGGTGGCTTTGGAAGCTGTCCTGGAACTAGTTCTTGTACGCTAGGCTGGTCTCGAACTCACAGAGATTCGCATGCCTCTGTCTCCCAAGTGCTGGGATTAAAGGCAAATGCCACCACCACTCGGCCAGAAGGGGCGTTCTTTTTGTTTGTTTGTTTGTTTTACGAGACAGGGTTTCTCTGTATTGTTTTGGAGGCTGTTGGTCCAGCTCAGCCTCGAACTCACAGAGATCTGCCTGTCTCTGTCTCCCAAGTGCTGGGATTAAAGGCAAATGCCACCACCGCCCGGCTCAGAAGGGGCATTCTTATCTCTATAGCTACATAGAAAGACACTTTCTCAAAAAAGCAAATGCTGAAGTGATTATTGAAAATAATGATATAAAAGTGGTATTTGACTCTAAGGAATAGGTGGCAGCCTGGCATGGTTCCCTACAATCCCTGACTGGGAGACTGAGGCATAGAGTTTGCTGAGAGCTTGTAGTATGAGACTCTGCCTCAAAAATGAGGGATGGGGAAGGAGAATCAGAAATTTAGGTATTGTTGCATAAAGGGAAAATTAAGTTAAGGGGTGTGATTACCCCTTCGTGTCTCAGGTCCCAGACTCCTTAAACACCACTAGCAGAAAACAGCAGGGTAACAGAGCGCCTAACACAGTAGTCTTAGATACAGTGCGTAGTAAGCTGCAGCATAATGACAAGATATGTGATGAGAAAGACTTACAGGCCATATGCAGACATGCTAGACCGAACTTGTGTCAAAAACTATCAGCAATATGAAATAAAAGCATTTGGACATGACTCATTGGGTGGAAAGCAATTGCTGAGCTGGGCTAACAACCCAAGTTCAGGTCCCAGGAACCCACATCAGTAAAGGGGTGTCAGTGAATGGCGAAATGATTTAGTGGGCAAAGCTGCTTGCAACCAAGCCTGACACACTAAGTTCAATACCAGGACCCATATGGTAGAAAGGAGAGAGCTGATTTGTGCAAATTATCCTCTGACCTTCATTTGCATCTCCTACCACAAACAAATAAGTAAAAGGGATTAACCTCTAAGGGAGAAACCAAAGCCGAGCCAGGTGGTGCACACCTTTAATGCCAGCACTCAGGAGATGGAGGCAGGCAGATCTCTGTGAGTTCAAGGACAGCCAGGGCTGCATAGAGAAAACCTGTCTCCAGAAAAAAATCTGGCTACAATGGCTTTCATCTCTATCTCAGGACTTATGGCAAGGTGGGAGTTGGAGGTGAGAGACTTACCCAGATGGTGGCTGGTGAGCTCTTGGTGCTTGTGATGAAGCTGTAGGGAACAGTGTGGTCTTGCCTCTAACTTCCACGGTGTGTGCACATGGAGCACACACAGAAAAGAACATAGAAGCCAATCATCAACTCTCCATGTCTGTGTTTGCTTTGGTCAGGATCCCATTCTAATTGGGCGTGAATGATAAATGCTGTCAAGTACATTTTTCCATTACACCTCATTGTTAGATTTGGGAACATGTTAGAAAGCAACAATACTGTTACCAGAGTCAGTAAATGATTTATAAAAAGCAGAAGGCACAGGCAGCAGGTTCAGTGTGTAAAAGTGCTTGTGACTAAGCCTGACAAACTGAGTTTGAATCCTGGGACTCACATGGCGGACGAAGTGACCAACTCTTCCATAGGTTCCATGACCTGTACATGTAAGTGCTCACTGGGTGTAAGGTTCCTGCACTTGGGTGAATGGCAGGCACGAAGACAGTACAATATGGTTAAGTTCTCTGGAGAGTAACTTACAAGATTCTCTTGGGAGGGAGCACTGAGGAGAGTCACCAAGGAATAATCCTGATGGGCATTGAAGTGATGTGAGCAGGAACAGTTACCTAGAGGAAGGCGTCCTAAGTAAGTACTGAAGAGTGACAATAAAGAACATGGGTGTGGCAGGCTGTGATGTCAGAGAAGTGGCTGCTCTCGGGCCACAGAAGGCCTGATGTGCTCTGCTACTGACCTTCAACATCCTGAGTGATTGGGAAAGCTCTCAGCTTTGACTAGGGAAGAACCAGATCGTAGCATTCTGCCTTCTGCTGTGACTCCAGAATTCACCTGGCAGGTTATCACCGGGGCCTTCTAAGGGTGGCCAGGAGGAGGAGGCACTTGGCAGAGCTTGGAGACATGCATATATCCGTCGACAGGAGAATGAATGCCATGTTTTCAAACTGAGAAACTAGTGTAGGAGAAAGCCTTGGCCCAACAGTGTGTGTACATCTTTGGGAAATGTGGACAGCAGTGTTAAAACGGTGTGTTCATGATCTGCAAACTTTGCATCCCATCACACCCCCATGGTGCCCTACCGAGCCAGTGCTCTCCCATTGAGCAGCATCCCAGCCCCAGAGGAGCAGTTTGTTGAGAACTGACTGCCGCCTGCAGTAGAGAAAGGCCTGAAGATACCTTGCCCTGTTCTGCTTTAAACTACTAAAATCCTTTCTAGGGTCTTGAGAGATGGGTGAGTACTCAAGAGCTCTTGCTGCTCTTGCAGAGGACCTAGGTTTGATTCTCAGCACCTGTAGTTGGATTTCTCTTTGAGCCACCAGCCAGGCCCCAAATAAAGACATGGAGACTTAGTAAGTATGAATGCTCCACCTCTATCTTGTGCTTGTGCCACTGGCTCTTATAACTTAATTAGCCTGTTCCTATTCATCTGTTTTTCCTCAGGGCTTTTTACCTTTAATCCTATATGTTCTGCTTTCTGCTTTCTATGTTTGTCTCTCTGACCTCTGGCTTCTCCCTGGCCTAGATTCCTCTCCTAGTTACTCTCTCTGCCCCTATCTTTACATAGTTAAGCTAATAGTCTACAACATAAAGAAATGGAGCACATGTTTATATAGTTAAGCTAATATTTCATAACAAGCACCCACATGGTATCCGTTTTAGTCAGAAATTTTGTTGTGATAAGACACCATGACCATGGCAACTCTTACAAAGAAAAAACATTTAATTGGGATGGCTTATATTTTCAGAGGTTTAGTTCATTATCATCATTGTGCAACATGGTACATGCAGGCCGACTTGGTACTGGAGAAGTAGCTGAGTGTCCTATATCTTGACTTGCAGACAACAGGAAGTGAAGTGAGATAACAGCGTTTTATCTTGAGCTTTGTGAGTCCTGGAAACCCATCTCCATAGGGACACATTTCCCTCCAATGAGACCACACCTATTCTAGCACTTGTGGTAATTCTGATGCTAATGACCTCTGCGACTTAAGGAATATGGATATCCAGGACTTGATGTCTTACTGACACATTTGGTTCCCAGTTGTCATTTATTTGATTATTTACCAGGAAATCATGCTTTGCTTTGCCTCTAGAATAAGGCTTCAGGATTATAGCATTAAACAACATATCAGATGGGAGCACGCTGCTAAGACTTGTATTCTTGGAGCAAGACCAGCCACAGCTGGGTTTCATTACTTGGGTTTTTCTCTTACCTTTTGTGTTGAAGCCATTTGGTACAATTCCCTCTTCTGTTCGGGTTTGCTATTCACAGCCATGGAAATGGAAACATTCCCCTTTTGGCTGGAAACAGGCGCAAAGCCTGGAAACACTCTGGTCAAAGTCTTGCACAGACCCCAGTCCTCTTTGTGAGGCCTCCTGAGTATATCAAATCCCTTCTCCCATAGCATGGGCAGAAAACACTGATGCAGTACAGAGTGCTTCATCTTACTGCGCAGCCCGATAACTCATTGATACATTGTCTAAGGATGACAAGATCCCTATTTAGTACCTGAAAGAAGAACTGAATTTATTGCTAACTGTAGGAAAGGAAAATTACACAGGTCTGTTGCAATTTCTTCTTGCACAACATACTGTTAATCATACATAAGGTTTGGAGTTCAAGTGTTGGTAGATTTAGAGGCATAAGCATTTAACATACTCTCCTTGGGTGAGGCTATTGTTGATTGGGTGAGGCTATTGTTGATTCAGGACCATGTGTAGCTAAGGGAGTCTGTCCTGGATTTTAAGCACTGGGCTTCAGAAAACATGTTCAGGCAATTACTCATCGAGTGAACAGCTCTAAAACCTGTTTTGATGGCTACTTTTCACTGTATTACAGAGCAGTGGGTCTTTCAAGTTGATCTGAATGTTTATTTTGGGTTTTAGATTTTTCTCTTTGTGCCAGAGAGATGGCTCAAGCCAACAAGACAAGATTTTGCTTTTGTATTTTTAATTATTTGTAGTGTGTGCACCTGAATGTGTATATGTACAACACATAAGTGCAGGAGCCCACAGAGGCTGGTAGAGGGTGTCAGGTGTCCCGGAACTACTGGATTTATAAGTAGAGTGACCTGGTGTGGGCACTGGGAATAGAACTCAGGTCCTCTGCAGGAACCGTGATTTTGAGACAGGGTTTCTCTGTTATTTTGGAGGCTGTCCTGAAACTCACTCTGTAGACCAGGCTGGCCTCAAACTCACAGAGATCAGCCTGCCTCTGCCTCCCAAGTGCTGGGACTAAAGGCATGCGCCACCAATGCCGGGCCGAGCAGTGTTTTCTTAACCACTGAGCCATCTTTCCAGCCCCCTAACACCAATCACCAAAAATGCATCAAAAGCTATAATGACAGGGTTTTATAAAATGTGGCTGATTCTACCTTAGATATGTTTTTGCCCGAGACAGCTGGTTTTTGATGTAGTGTTGAGCAGCACAATCAATCTGATTTTGTCTCCAGTCATTTGTTGAATCATCTGTCAGGCTAATTGTTGTGTGGAAGGACTGAAGGTTCTGGACAGCAGACATCAAATGAATGTGAAACAAATGTATCTAGAAGAATCTTGGGACCAGGAGGAAGACACATTGCAAACATCGAGGTTTAATCAAGGAAACAAGATGTAGTGACTCCCCACGTCTGCTTTACACAGCCAATTTTCTATGCGGCAG